CCCGGCCCTGCCCGCCCCCTCCGGGGTCCGAGGGCTTCCCCGGATCTCGGCCCTGGGGCCCGCACCGCCGCGGCCGCGCCCCTCGCCCCAGCGGGTCCTTGGCTTCCAAGACCCCAGACCCTGCAGCTGCTCCCCTTTCCCTGCGGGCCCCTCCGCGGCAGACGCGGCTCCGCTCAGACCCAGCGTCCCCCAGAGATGGTCTCAGTCCCCTGCCCCGGCGGGTCGCAGCTGTTCCCCTGGGTCCCCAGTGCTCCCAGGGCTGGGACCCTGTGAGGGACCAGCCCTCAGGACCTATACGTGCTGGGATTGGTGTCGAAACCGCATTGTAACCCCTTAACAAAGTCTCGTTTGCATCCCAAAAGGCTTGTCTGAGAGGATGGAGACACCAAATGTGTGCCCAAGGGTTGGTGGCTGCTGCACGATGCTGTTCCCAGCTCCACCACCTGTGATACCCAACCTGGCAGCATCTTTGCCTGAGATGAGGCAGAGTCCAGCATTTCCATGTGCAGACCCTGGGTGCTTGGTCTTCCCTTCTGTTCTCCATCCTCCTGGTAGGAAAGAGTCTACTGAGGCTCCAAGCTGATTTAGCATCAAACACATTTATTTCACTTTTACTGAATACAAGAACAGTGAGCACACACGCATACACCACCAAGCACTGAAAAGGAATATGACTGAAGTGGGGAGAGGGAGAACAAGGAAAGAGAAAGGGAGAGTTAGTGAAGGAACAACAGAGCATTGCAGTTGGTTGGTAAGGTGCTTCTCAAATAAAAATAAATATTATTATTACTGTTGTTATTACTCGTGCAATTGCAGGCCAGGTTTGGAATGGATTTGTGGGATCAGGTAAAAACAGGCACTCGTGTCTCCCACCCCTTTAAACAGAAAGGTCCCTGGAAGAAAACAAGCAGTGATCAGCTATCTGAAATGGAGCGAGGTGATGGGCAGGCTGGGGGAGCTGAGTCCACCACAGGGCCTCAGTTGTCACTGAGCAGCAGAAACCCACGCCTCACCAGGCAAACAAGCTGTCAGCTTTTTTCTTTCCTTTTTTATTTATTTTTTATTTATTAAAGGTTTTTAAACACTGCCACATGCTGCTGAAGCCAGGGACTAGATCTGCTCACTCCAAACGTAACTCACCTCAGTCTAAGCGCATATCAAGTCTAACTCTGTAAGGCCACTAATTTTAACAGTAACCTTCAATTTCGTAACAGTGCACCATTTCAAAAGCAAGTATCTAATTTCACAGTAGCCTCAGGTTCCAAAGCCAGGTGGGCTCCTCTGAGGATGAAACACACTTGTTGATGAACACTGGCACTGAGTGTGGACCACAGGTCCTCTACCTCCCTGCCTATCTGAAAGGGAGGTGGATTGAAAAAAGAAAAGAGAGGAAAGCAGCCTCTTTGCAACTGCCTTAAGTCTCTTTTGTTTGGGAGTTGGCTCTCTAACGATAGCTGAAGGTGCTGGGGTGGAAGCTGGGAAGACCCTCACGACCTGGCAGCACTGGTGCTAGCCAGCAGCTCCATCTACTTCTCACGCAGCCTGTGCTCGTGCCTTTCATGCTTGCAGGAGAAACCTCTCTGGCAGAAGGAGAACAGACTTCCCAGGGACATACTAGCAAGCAACTGGTGAAGCAAAGCTGTCAGGTTTCTCCTAGGATAGCAAAGGCTGTGAACAGAGTCTGCCCAATATGTCCTCACAGCACAGGCTCTCCTACCTGCTGGCATCCTCCCAGCCATTGCAGGACCTGGCAAAACACACCTATTTCTGTGCACAGTCTGTGTGGGGACTGGGAGACTAAAGGCAAAATGGTGCAGAATCATGGGCCCTTCAGTTTCTGCAGAAGCTAGAGACAATTCCAAGTAGGAAAGCTGTTTATTTCCTTTCCTTTCTGATTCTGGTTCCAAGTCTACCCTAACTGCCTGGTTCACAGTGTATGAGGCCCTGGGGTTGGCCCATGATCCCTTCCAAAGGCAGCTGTTGAGGAAGCCTGTGTCTCAAGGCTGAGTTGGGATGAGCTGGGGGAAGGCAGCTCCACTGACATCTCCTCAACATGTACCTTCTTACGCAGAGGGCCTGGAATCTCTTGTCCAACCTGGGATGCTGGGGGTGCTCTGCATTGCTGGGGACAGCACAATCTCTCCATTGCCCATCCCTGGGTAGGCCAGGGGAAGGACTGCCACCACCTGCCATTGCTGTACTTGGGCAGCCCTTGCCATCAGACCCTGCGCAGCAGGGAGAAAGGGCAGAAACAACCCCCTCTGCCTTGAACTCTAATACAAAGCTTGACTAACTTAAGCACTGGGATCCAGAAACAAAGCAAAACCACCCAACCACTGGCACAGTTTTGTGGGCTGGAGGAGAGCGCTCAGCTCCAGACCTTGCTCCCAGCTGACTCCCATGGCTCTGGGTGGCAGCTGGAGAGACAATCCTGCCTCCAGCTGCCAGAGCCACAACCTCAACCTCCTTCTCTGGAGGAGAACCAACCACCAACCACAGCATATCAGCTGGCAGGACCTTTCCTGTCCTTTGCCCCTCTCCCCCTTCCCCTCCAAAACAGCAGCAGCTGAAACCTTCCCTGTTCTCTCCTTGCAGGACTGAGAGTCCCACATGTGATCTAAGAGTCTCAAAATACACCAAACACAATCAATCAAAGAGTTAATAATTTTCAAATGTTGTCATAATATTTACCAGCACTGTTGAATCATTTCAGTATTGTTCCCTCCCTCCCCCCTCGTTAGATATAATATACATAATTTAAATGCACATCCATATGAAACCCCTACAGGCTGCTTTTTTATAAATGAGAAACCATATGCATATCTTTTTGTTGTTGTTGTTTGAAATTAAATCCATTCTTAAATACCTTCAGAGGACAAGAAGTTGAACAAGTGCACAGAGAAGAAGATAAGGAACAGAAGGGAGAAGTTAACAGAACCCAAAAAAAAGATGCAAAAACCCAGCATGGAATGAGGAGAAGGGCAAAACCACACTTGTGAATTGGAAAATAACTCTAAGGTAATAAATTCACTGTTTTTCTCTCTTCCTTCCAGAGGAGGGGAATGGTTTTGCTTCTGCTTGTGGTTTGTTGTTTCAGTTTATTTCTTGCTTTGTTGCAAAGCAGTTTTCCTTTCCATTCAGTGTGCAACAAATGAACTCATGATTGTGTATCCTTTAATGTAACATGCAAGATGGTGGCTTATTGTATTGTTAACAATATTATTGTTGTTATTATTTTTTTAAATCTTATTTGATCTCCAATCCAGTAAATTCTTCAATTTATCTGCAAAGAGGGTTGTCTTTGTTTGTTGGTGGTGTTGTTAGCTATTCATTTATAGCACATAGCAGCAATGCATGGATGCATTTTATTTCCTGTTTATATATATATATATGTATGTATGTGTATATATATATATATAATATACATATTTGTTATTCCTTTTTTAAAATTTTTGTCTCTTGCCATGAATGCTGCAGCCAGGATGTCTATGTCTTGCTGACAAATCCAGCATGAAGGCTCCTTCTCTGCTGTTCTCCACGTTTGAATCCAGATGCCAACTTCCATGAACATGTTGGTCAAGACTCCTGTACAAGGCAGATGGAAATGACCAGTCAAGAGGTGCTGATCCCTTCAACTATAAAAGGGCACTAATTTGTGTGAGGGCACTGGAACAACTTGCAAACACTTGGGGCCACAGTCTGCATTTAATCACCAGGACCTCTGATAATTAGCAGGAATTCTTAAATCACTGAAATCCTGTTGATATATGCTGAGAGTTGGTCACTGCTTCTGTCCTTCAAGCCATTCAATTAAAATTGGGTGGCTCCCTAACTCACACAGAAGTGTCTGAGTTTACTTGTTTGTACTGTGAAATAGGAGGTAAGATTAGGCAGATGCAACAGCTTCTTCTGACCTTCCAAGCTGCAACGGAGCCGGTTGCTTTTCCGGCTTAAAAGCTGCCAATAAAAATCTTCATATGATAATGAAACATAAAATCACATTTTCGAGGAGGCCTATAAAAATGCACCTGCAGCCTGGCTGGTGACAGAGCTCCTCATCCATTTTTCAGCAGTGCAGCTGCCTTCAAAAGCTCCCCCTCCCCCTTCCACCACATTCCTCTGTGCCTCGGCTGCTCAAGGAGGTCTGCTGGGCTGTGCCACCACCAAAGAGCTGCAGCAACCCAGGGAGGTGGAGCAGTGGGGTAGGAGAAGGAGGCTTACAGTGGGGCAGGACTCCTCAGAGACAGCTTTGTCCTGAAGAAAAATATCTGGGGCTGGGACCAATTTGTGACATCTGCAGTTAGGTGCAAACCTTGAATGCAGGGGCCTGGACCTGCACGTGTATGAAAAGACAACCTGGGATCTAAAAGCTGGCTGATATTTAAGGACCATCTTCTCCAGGCCCAAGAGCGATACATCCCAACTAAGAGAAGGTCAGGTAACACCAGGAGGCTGGTGTGGATGAGCAAGAAGCTTCTAGAAAAGCTCAAACTTCAGAAGGAAGCATCCAGAGGGTGTAAGCTTGGGCAGGTACCCTGGGACTGATTTTGCAGGACCTGTAGCCAAGTTTCAGCCCATCCACCTCTTTC